ATGTGTGAAGGTGATGCTGGTATATAATATTTTGAAGATGGTGTAAAAATTGGTGTTGATGGTGGTGAAGGAGAAGTTAAATCAATTATTTCTACCTCATTATGTTGTGAACGTGGTGTCGATATACTGGGACAAAAATCATTACTACTGTTGCTATTGAAAGAGTTATTAACTATGGAACCAGAATTCTGTATTAGAAAAGAGAATAATAATATTTCATTAATGAAATTATTACTTCTTTTTTCCTGTTTTAGAATATATAAATATTATTATATTAAAGATCAGAATAAATATTTCATAACGAAATTCAACTTTCTACGTAGGCCTATAAGATATTGAAGAAATCTTTATGTAATTTATGAGAATGTATAATTTGGAATAATAAAAAACAACCACCATTTCCTAGTAAAATCAAACATTGCTATTTTTACCATCTAAAGAATCTTATATGTAACATTAACAATGCGTAAACATAAACTTATAAAAATTAATAGCTACAACTATTACTAGCCTTTAAACAATTTCAAAGTTTAAATTTTCTTTCGATCCTTTATTTGTGAGTGAAATTGAGGATTAAAAAATAAAAGCTCACCCTGAAATTACTTCTGTTCATTTGGTAATTTTATTAATATTTAAAATTAAAATTGAATTAGTAAAATTTTTTTTGGAATTTTTTAAAGAGATTATTTCATTCTCCAGGTAATTTATTTTAAATTATTATTATATATCTAATGTATATGCGCTAACAATTATACAATATATAAAAATATATAAATCTCAGTTACCGTTTACAAAGATTATTATGGAATTCTCGGATTACAAAAAAATGTTAATAAATCAGATATTAAAAAAGCATATTATATGGTATGTTAAATATACAAGTACACAATTATTAGCAACAATCAACCAGCCAACAAGCTAGTCAATAAACCAACTCATTGGCTTACATTTATTTAATTTAGCTTGCAAAAAAGAATCACCCTGACACTAATAAAGATCCAACGGCAAAAGAACTGTTTGTAATGATTCAAGAGGCTTATGATGTAATTTATAATCAATAACATCATCATTATCTACAACAACGTCATATATTGTTTTGGAAGAATATATTTATATATGTAGTCAATTAATAATAATTTAGGTGTTAAGTGACGATCAAAAACGTATACAATATGATCAATTGGGTGTATTATATAATGGTATTTAAAGAATTTGTATTATTATATTATTAACACAATTATTAAAATTATTATTGGTTCTTGTTTAAAGGAAAAAGATCCCCGAGTAGTGGTGTTAGATTTAACGTCGAAAATATTGGTGGATTTTCCGGTGGATATGACGAAGAAAACTTTAATAATATATTTGGAGAAAGATTAGCTGGTTCAAAAATTAATACGGGTTTTAAATTCGGCCAGCCCTATT